CAAGGTTGGCTGGGTCCATGCGTGGTCCAGCCCTGTATCAGACTCCTCCATCTTCTCAGCACTCCCTGCTGTCTGTCTCGCACACCCCGCGCTCGCCAAAGTCTTGTTCCGCCTCCCCTTCTGCGTTTTCGTCGCCTTCCGCTTCCTTCGCGCAGCGTTCACTTCAGGCTCCAGCGGCGCCGTGATCGTGCCGCGTTCGTGCCATCCACTCAGCGCCGACGATCATCCGGCCGACCGGCCGCACGCTGGCCCGATGGGAACGGCCTTCGAAGGCTGTGGCTGAACGGACGGAGCGCCGCCGCCGCCGCCGCCGCCGCCGCCGCTGTCGAGAAAGTTCGGCGGTGGCGCCGACACGCGCCGGCGCAGCGGCGTCGTCAGTGGCGTCGAGATGGGGAGGAGCAGAGGCGGCGTCAGGCGTCGAGCGATTGGACCGAGAGTGTTAACGGTTCGGCGGATGAGACAAACACGCGGTTGTCTTGCTTTGTGCCAACTGGAATACCACCTCCGGACACTGAACTCCTGTGGGATGTTTCACCCGTTCAGAATCCATGGGTGCCGCATTAAAACCACTTTTCTGCGCAAACTCGACCTGTGTTCGTCCATCACGTTTAGAGCCTGCATGCCCAACACAAAACTTCTGACAACCATGGCATGTGCCCGCTGGTCTACATGTGCATTCCCTGCAGGGGAAGGTCTGTTCGCTAAGCTTCCACTGTTGAGAGTTAGAAGCCGAGGGACGCCTGACGGGACCACCTATAAAACCGATTCAGTTGTGCCGTACTCAGCTGTCTGTCGAAGCTGTTCGGGCTTAAAACGACAAGCTATTTGACCATGCAGGATTGGCGAGAGCTACATCACGACTCCACCGCAGCGAGCTCCTCAAGCCCCTTTGCGGCGGGCTCCTCGAGCTCCGCCGCGGCGGGCTCCTCAAGCTCCGCCGTGGCGGGCTCCTCAAGCTCCGCCGTGGCGGGCTCCTCAAGCTCCGCCGTGGCGGGCTCCTCGAGCTCCGCCGCGGCGGGCTCCTCGAGCTCCGCCGCGGCGGGCTCCGCAAGCTCCGCCGTGGCGGGCTCCTCAAGCTCCGCCGCGGCGGGCTCCGCAAGCTCCGCCGTGGCGGGCTCCTCAAGCTCCGCCGCGGCGGGCTCCGCAAGCTCCGCCGTGGCGGGCTCCTCAAGCTCCGCCGCGGCGGGCTCCTCAAGCTCCGCCGCGGCGGGCTCCTCAAGCTCCGCCGCGGCGGGCTCCGCAAGCTCCGCCGATCCCGCAGTTGCACCGGCGTTGCCTCACCCCTGCATCGTAATGTTTCTCCGGCCCCGGCGCCAAAGGCCGTCTCGGGCACGCCGCAAAACATTGCACCACCGTTGTGTCATGCTTCTGCCATGCCGATTCGGCCACTGATTGATGGTGCGCCTGCCAAACCGCTGCGCCCGAGCTCTGGATGCTACTGCCGCTGCGGCACGAGTGCCAGACCCGGCCACGTCACCGGAGGGTTAGTGCGCCAGTGGTGATGGCCGGAACCCCCCCCCCCCCCCCCCCCCAGCCTCGGCCGGGAGACCCAGGCGTGAATTGTGTCCGCTGTGATGCCCCACCGTCCTTTTCACGATTGCTAGCTTTAGAGGTTGCCAAACCAGTCACTTGACGGTCACAGGTGTCAATACAACAATACTCATCGCACTCGCTTGTTTTATACCCCGTATGTCCACATCTTATCCTAGCCCCCAAGATCTTCACCCAATTTCCGTCAACTTACATTTAAAGAGCCCGCAGCTATGAGTATGTGTACATATATATATATATATATATATATATATATATATATATATATATATGTATGTATATATATATAAATATAAAGACTTCAACATGACAACGTTTTGTCTAAGCCCAACGTGACAGTCCTGCCGATCTCAGCAATTTATAATAATTTCATGAATTTCTTTCGAATAATTTCGTACTTAATTTTTGAAATGATTTTTTTTGTGGTCCCCAATACATGTGATGGGGTCTGATTTGGATAATCTGGGGACTTCCGCCAAACAACAGGACCCGGTGTTGGTCATGTAGAGACTCATACGCGGCAGTTTTCGTTGCCTTATGGGCCTCATTTTTAAATTGCTGAAGTGTTGTTCTCGGTCATCTGGGGCCTCCGATCAGGATGATTGAGCCTCTTGAATATTCAGGGGTTCAAGGGTTTTTCAAGGGTATGTTTTCCCCCTAGCCAATGGCAAGAGGGAGCTGATCCCCCCTTGCCCCTGCCAACATGAGCCTTATCTGCTTTCAAGGAAGCAAACACGGCGCCAAAAAACCACCTTTAACAGCTTTCCATTCCTGCGTCGTGTGCCGCGGCGCCTCACGCTTACCATTGAGTCGCAGACCCGACTCTGCACTTCCACACTCCATACCAGAGCCGGGAAAGTGTGTTTGGGGGGGGGGGGGGGCAGCAGGCGGCAGCGGCGTGCGTGGGCGAAGCTGCACCGTAGCTCCCAGCAGCGCCGGCAGCGGCGGTCTGCTGGCCGGCCGGCGGTTTCACTTTCGTCGGCGGCCACGAGCGGTCTGTTCCGGCTTACGCCCGGTGGCGGTCACGGACGGGCGCGCGCGCCGCCGCCGCGGGGTGCGGGGGAGGGGCGGGGTCACGACGGAACGGGCCCGCGGTCAGCCGTCGCGCCGCCGAACGATCGGCTTTGTCTTGGCGGTGACGGTTCCCGCGTGCGGTAATGGGCCCGTCCTTCGCCTCGAGAGCTCTCCGCTTCGCCGCGCGGCCTGGCGACAGCGAAACTTGACTGATGTGACGTCACTGGGACGGCGATGTTCGGCTGGTGTGACGTCACTGAAAGGGTCGAGCGGGAGCCGTGCTTCCCATTGTCGGCTTACCTTGAGAGTCGTCCTGACCATCCGTGTATGTGTTTGCTGGTGCCATTAGCTTCCCGACCTCTCGGCCATGTAATGTCCGTCGTCACCAAACAACTGTGTAATGCTCATCACCACCGTCGAACATACCAGAGGAAATTCGGTAGTTAGAGCCTGGGACCTGGTGTTGCTAAGCTATCATTATCATCATCTTATCGTTTCAAGAGCGGTTTCTAGCTCTCTCCGCCGTTTAGGTGGATACCGGCCTTCTGGTGGCTACCATTTGGCTGATGCCATGAAACAATAACGCTTACTTTTCCCCGGGGCCCGCTCCGCGTGTTTATTGTATGGTCTCGTATCTGCGCGCGAATCATCCTGCAGGAACAGGCTGTTCCGGCAATGTGCACAAGTCGTGTGAACCGGGTCAGATTGGACACTCTCACTCCGGGAGTGACGGCAGATATACCTGCTGCACACGTACTCTGAAATGTGACGTGAGCGATGACGCAGTCGCTGGTAGTTAGGCGACTTATGACGTCACTAATCCTGTTCCGTGGATCTCTGCAGGTATCTGCAGACAACGCTTCCACCGCTGCTTGTAGTACTAAGCACGGCATTGGCAGCACGCCGACCAGTCATTCAGAATCACTCCGACTTTTGGACCTTGTCCCACACACAGCTTCGTAAAGCGGTCATGACATGATGACATTAGCCCTTTTATCTGAGCGATGTCTGAAGTGGTGTGCCGCTGCGTTAAACAAAACTGTGACACGAGAGACATTGAGACACGCTCTCTTTCAACGTAGTTGTGGTCCTAGTCCTGGTATATTACGGGCTATTATCGTCTCGCTCCTAGCAGAAAATTGATCCCAATTCTCTGCCATCATTTTGAAGTTATGGGGCCACTGATAAACGAAGCAAAAGAGCCCGAGGCCATTAAAGGACTCAACAAGCGGACTTAAAGCTTCCATGTGTTTCACAACGCGGCATGGTTGACATATTTCTCACACGTTTGTCTACGGGCGACATTGTGAATAGGACGCTGTTGTTGCTGAGTGATGCGCAAATTACACTTACTTAGTGTATATCCATCCAGAAAGTGCGGTGCACTACGACATGGCCAATTTATCGCCTAACCACGGGCATGCCAGGCACATATAGCTCAGGGTTAGACAAAACATCCGACCACTGCGGTGTCACACGGCGCCCATTGCCTCCAGCTCCACCTGTCTGAAAAACAGGACGGCCATGCCACGAGAGCATCTGCTTTTTAACGCCAGCGACGAGCCATGTCATGGTGTTGTTTTGACCTGAGCAGTCGGCGTGAGGAGATCGGTCTTTTTACGTCACCTAGACATGACACGTGACCCCAGCTCGCCCACCCCCTCCCCTCGACCGCCGCTCAATGTCGGTGACCGGCCTGAAGGCGACAGGCCCACAAGGCATGGTCCCAAGCCTGGCTCCGTTGACCCGGTGGATTAACAGCGCCTGACGTGGCCCGACCTGGCCTGACCTGACCTGACCTAGCGTGACCTGACCTGACCTGGCTGACCTGGCCTAGCATGTCCCAGCCAGCGGGATTCTTGTCTATCGTTTTCAGCACTGGCTTATAAGGTTTGGTTTCAGTTTGGTGTGGATCCGTGCCCGGTTATGAGCTGCGTTGTTTTTAAAAAATCAAATACCGTGGAGAGGGCTTGGTCGCTGTCGGTCGAGGAATAGAAAAATTTATGGACAAGATGAAGTGGTTCAATGGGTCAGTGATAGCTTTTATGCAATATTTCCTTTACAGGGTAAAGCAGGGTCACTAGGGTTTTCAACTGACTCTTGGAACACCGGATTTCTTTCATAACGTGGCTTGTTTTCGTTCGGGCCAGATTAACATAAGTTTAAATGTGATTTGCCTGCTGTGATTAGCTAAAAAGATCCAAACAGATGAGGCGTGCCTAAAACATGAGCAGGCATCATCAATTCACCGTCCTAGCTGTCCACACAGCATGCTTCTATGTATGTCCGATGCCCACACAGTATGCCAGTATGTCCACGCAGTATGTCGGATCCTTTTGTCACAGTGGCCCATACGGCCTGTTGCCCGCCGTTTCCAGATGCGTGGCAGATCCCCGACGCGTGACTCTCGTGACCTTTGACCTGTCGTCTTACAGGCGTGAGGGCCGACCCGTACAGCGCCGCCTCCCTGTGGACCGCGGCTCATCTGCCCACGTACAAGGGCAGGAACAGCTCGGCCGTGGCACTCATCGCCGAGGAGGCCACGCGACATCTGGTGGTCAGGTGAGCTGACTGGACAGTCCGCTGACTGCCGGCCCGGAAGGCTGCGGGCTCGACTCTAGCCGGACGCAGCTTTTGGAGTGCTAGTCTTTCCAGGGAGCATGGAAATATTATGAGATCAAGCGCACTGATCGCATGCTTCCATGATGGTGTTACCAAAGGGTACCGCACCGTGCATTATACCTTAGGGGAATGAGTTTCGAAAGCTGGGATTAATCAGCTGGGAATTTTAGTGCGCGCAATATTTACCTTGCACTCCTTGTAGAACGACGCTGCGCTGTCTCGTTGCAGCTAGGTGTTTTTGTATACCCACTCATTCCGCTCTCCGCTAGCTCAATCGGGTTAATCTGTCTTGATTCTCGGAGGTTGACTTCGGCGCTCTGACGGCACCAAGATCTCTGCTCATATGAGATGAGCTATGCGGCATCCATACGATGCGATTGGTGCGGCGTTATGTTTTCATAGCTGGAGCATGGAAGAGAGCGTCGCATGGAAGATCAGCTACATGTCTTATCGCCTCGATAATTCAGTTGGTCATTGCGCGTGCTATGACAGGTAGGCAAGAGGCAGGGACGTAGTCGAGGGGCCCACGATGCATCATCCCCCCCCCCCCCTTCCCGAGGCAAGAGATTTGCACTAGATGCTGAACTGTTTCTTAAGAATTGGATTCAAACTCGCGAGAGTTTAGAGAAAATGTGACATTGCCCCCCCCCCCCCCGCTGATGTGAATTGCCGTTACGGGCCTACAGGCAAAGTCTGACAACGGTAAATTTTCATGTTGCCAACCTGGCAATGATGGCATCTAAGGAGCGATCTCCGTATGTCAGATACTGTGACGGCGGGTTGGCATCCAACCTGGCAATGACGGCATCTAAGGAGTGATCTCCGTATGTCAGATACTGTGACGGCGGGTTGGCATCCAAGCTGGCAATGACGGCATCTAAGGAGTGATCTCCGTATGTCAGATACTGTGACGGCGGGTTGGCATCCAACCTGGCAATGACGGCATCTAAGGAGTGATCTCCGTATGTCAGATACTGTGACGGCGGGTTGGCATCCAACCTGGCAATGACGGCATCTAAGGAACGATCTCCGTATGTCAGATACTGTAACGGCGTGTTGGCATCCAACCTGGCAATGACGGCATCTAAGGAGTGATCTCCGTATGTCAGATACTGTGACGGCGGGTTGGCATCCAACCTGGCAATGACGGCATCTAAGGAATGATCTCCGTATGTCAGATACTGTGACGGCGGGTTGGCATCCAACCTGGCAATGACGGCATCTAAGGAGTGATCTCCGTATGTCAGATACTGTGACGGCGGGTTGGCATCCAACCTGGCAATGACGGCATCTAAGGAATGATCTCCGTATGTCAGATACTGTGACGGCGGGTTGGCATCCAAGGTCATCAGAGGATCCCCAGGCGTCGTCCTCCTTTGAAAAGGTTCCGGTTTGGTCGCCCACCCCGAGGGCGCGGCCACGCCCAAGGCCTTCTTAGAATTGCTCCGGCCACCGAGACCATAAATCAGAGGTGCGGGCCGATCGATGCGTCATGAGAAGTCCGTAGAGCTCGTGACCGCAATACATTCTCACGATGTTTGGCATTAATTCGTTGTCAGTTGTTAAGAGCTTTTTTGCGAGTCAGTGGGTATATGACGACAGGCGTTGTTGCAGTTCTGTAGACCACAAATTTATACTTTTATTATAGTACATACAGCACTGTCGTTATTCTTGTAAAGTGAAGACTGCACCCGGAGGCATAATGTTGTTACATTGAACTAGAACTCACCCCATGTGTATGAACAAGCCGCCGAAAAATCGCATGAAACCATAAATTCGAAAAGACGGCGCTATCTGGCTGTTTTTACCTGCTGTCTGTGGCAAGGACGTTATTTGTGTTTCGCAAGGCTCAGTCGCCAAGTTCAATGATTGCTGTGCTGGTTGCACGCTATTAGGTTCGCAGATACTGCGGATTCCGAGACAGCCCTGTGAGCTCATGGTTATCAGATCACATTAATGTATGGTGTACTTATACATTCCATAGTGTTATCCGAAACTTGCTAACATCCGAAAACCATATGGTAGGAAAACCTACAAGCAAGATTTTGCACCATCTTCTATCTGGCTGCAACTCCACCGGGAAAGCCAGAACCACCAAAAAACCTGTCTAAAACTACAATAAGTGTCTACAAACGACCATCAAACAAAGCCCAAGCACCACCGCCCGACCCATGAGGACCCCGCGCGGCCGCGCTGTGTGCAGCTCCTGCGCGCAGCCGCGGCGGTCCGGCGGCTCGTGCGGCGTTCCTGGACAGTCATTCACCCGTCACGTCTCGGTGATCGGCCTTGTTTACCCCCCGCGCCGGTGCCGCTTAGCCGGCGGCGTCTGCGCATGCGTCAACAGCCGGCGGCGGTGGGATCAAGGTCAGCGGGGCGCCGGAGGTCACGCGCCGGGCCGGGGCATGGACCTCGGTTGTGCTCGGCGCCCGCTGGACCACGGCTGACCGCTGGAAGGCGAGAGTACTTCCCAAGGTCGCTGGGTGGCCGCGAAGGTGAACAACTTCACCACCGCTGGAGATCACTCACCTGCGTACTACCATTGGGCCGATGCCCCTGCGTGTTTGGCAGTGGTTGGTAGAACTATTAACCCAGAGAGCGCACACGAAAGCGAGCACTTTGAGTGAGACATTGCATAGGTGATGCTAGAAAATATGAAAGGTGCGTGTTGCTAAAACACATGGTGGTGCATGTCACGTACATGCAGCGAGATCAAATAAAGCGTCATTTGAGGGCTAAAAGCAGTCAGTAGATGACAGCGCATAATAGTGCGCGCATCAAAAATTCAAAATAATATCTGAATCTCGAGTAAATAGTCGCATTTTTCAACCTTCTTAAGACATTATTGCACGCAAATATGGATAGCGGATGGCGCATCGCATGTATATTAATTCATTACCAAATCACCCTGGAATCCCACTACGGGCCGCTTAACTTTGAGCCATTTGTGTGGAACAAAAAACTAGCTTTGCCGCTGACGTGCTGACCTCAAAATAGGCCCCACCCCGTAGACGGTATCGGCTTATCAAAGAATGAAACGGATGTTGCAGCGACACTGCAGATGCTTACCGAAGAAGAGCCTGCACGAGTACCCTTACTCAACAACTACGCTCGACGACAGTAATTCCTTTCAGAACTGCTGAAATTACCGGTAATCAGGATCTAATCCCGCCGCGCGATTATAGCACCAGCATTGCAAGGACGCTGGGAAAACTCGCCCGCCACGTTGTCGTCCTATCCCAAACAACGGCGAGTTGTGACGCTGCTGGCTGACCACAACACGGCTGCCGTGTTCAGCGGCGCCGGAGCCTTCTGCAGAGTTCACCTGCCGACCTTGAGGGGCTAATGTCCGCTGACGGCCGGCGGACGCCGCCCTCCCCCCCCCCTCGCCATAATTCCTCTATCCACTTTCACTGTCACAGTCGGAGCACGCGGCGGCACTCTAGACGCACGCTATGCCCTAGCCGTAAGAAAGATGGGTCTCGATTCGATGTAAGCCAGTGGCTCAGAGGCACCAAGTAAATGCATCTGGAAGCATTTTATTCAGGCTGAGGCCTTAAAGATATTATTGAGCCATTATTTACCTACACCCAAAAATGGTTTCTTGAGTTCCCGGAAAAAGTTTTCGGGTCCACTTAAATACGCTGTTCTATGGGTGTTGATTGACTGAAGTTAAGTGCGCAGTAGTCCTGCGTACTCATCGTACGCACGGGAAAGTGATTTCAGACACATAAGCGACATTTGTGCGATTTATACAGCGAGCGACAATGTCTCGAGGGTCAGCTGATTACAGCCACGCCTCTGGCACGCCAATACCGCTAGTGATGCCTTGACAAGACTGCGTCGAATAATTTGAACAATTTCCGAGAGTCCACCGAACGGTCTGTGGTGCGCCGCAAGGGTCTGGGTCCAATCAATCACTAGGCGAGTCGCGGACAGTTAACGGCGATGGAACGAGTCAGCTGTCGAGGACAGGGCCTGGCGACCTGGCGACCTGTCGAGAACAGGGCCTGGCGACCACCATTACCACGTCCCCAAGCCAGCGTCTTGGATCTCATGTTGACTGTGGGATGTTTCCCTTCTTGAGTATTCGGTGGTGATCTGCGTAAATTGGGATTCTTTCATCGAAGGAGTTTGTATGAAGACATTTCGTCATATTGTACGTTATCAACTTAAACGTCCAGAACCCTGATGCCCATGTATAGAGGTGGACAGGGATGAAACTGCGGCTACAAGTAAACTGAGAAAGCTTCCTGCCGATACAAATTTGCATGTGCATTCAAATTCCCTCAGATCAGGCTAAATTGGTATAGTGATTTTAGAATGTTTAGTGCGATGATGACATCTTTTCTGCTACCTGTGGGTACAAAGACCCTGCTGTCGAGTAAAGTCGCTAATTCACTGAATATTATTGCAGGATTTGCTAAAACAAGCGATCACAAACTGCACTGAAGTAGGCAATAACCTCTCGGCAGCCAGCCATTTCGGCCCCAGCCTGTATCCACCCATGAACGTAGTGTGGCTACGGATGACCATGACCTCCCGTTAACTTTTGCAAAACCAGATTTGTTCTAGCTTATTTTCTGTGCACGATCGGTCAGTATCTCCCTAGAAGCACTCAACATAGTGGAGGAAAATGGGACACGCTCTGTTTTTGCTTCTCTGGGCTAGCAACGCGGAACAACCTTAGCATACGGCTGGTCTTTGATCCAGCAAATCAGGAGAGGATGCGTTCCTCGAAGTTCGCCGTTCCTGGTCTTTCCGACATGCCTGCATTCAGCTGGCAGCCCTTCCGCTCTCAACAATCCCAGCCCGTAATGTAACCTGCAGTCGTTCGCCGACTTCGGCGCCGTCCATTCAGCCAGCGAGCGGCAGTCTCCTCAGCCCCGGTTGAATGAACAGGGATATGGTATAGCGGCCCGTTATGAAGCCGCACTAAACTGACTTCAAAACGGTTTCCGGTCAGCCGTGTTGCTACCCTCTCGTCTTCAGCCCCCCCCCCCTCCCCTCTCCCTCTCGCCAGCCCGGAATCTGGGGTACACCCGGCGTCCCCAGCGTCCCCAGCAGCCCGCCTTTCTGCCTGGCGGCCGCTTCTGTAATCGTATCGCTAGGGCCCCGCCCGCGGCGCCACGCCGTGATTTATTCATTGACCAGCTTTCGCCGAGCGGCCGGCGACGGACGCGTCGGTTCTGGCGCGCGTGCGGCCGACGCGGCGCGCGACACCCCGTCTGTCGGCACCGCCGCGCAGCCGGAGCCTTGGCGCGGAGAAACGCGCGGCTCGCGCGGCGCCGGACGCGCGGGAAAGTGGCTCTCGTGGGCGCCGCCATGTTGGTTTCGTCACGGGCCGAGCGGCCTTGCCGCGGGCGCCGTGCCAGCCCCGTGATGGATCGACCGTGTGAATGGGTTCCAGAGGCGGCTGCTGATGATCCGACCTGCCCCCCCCCCCCCCCTCCTCACTCCCCCTCTCGCGTTCACGGTTGTGTCACCTCTGGCCGGTGATGTGCTCCGCGAGGTGGCATCTCACGCGGCTGGTGGCACCGACGAAAGGTGCCCGGTGAAGGAGTGTGCGGTGGAGAATATGTTCAAAATTAAATCAAAAACCGCAGATTCAATCCCATTTATGCTCTCTGCGTCCACTGACTTGGGCAAAGCCACGAACCGGGAAAAATCTTGAGGCAGTGATAGTGAATGCTGTGGAGGGAGGGAAGAGGACAATACTATTTTTACTAATTTGGCCTCCATACGATTCCATAGCTTTCATCATCATGTCATTGAATGACATGTTTGGTTTCAAACGATCATGGAAGGCGGTAGCCCCCCCCCCCCCCCTCCCTCCCCCACTCCACTCGTGCACACCTCTTGTTTCCAACGTTGTGAATGAAGCCCTGCCAAAGGCAAGGAAAGTGTCATATATACGGGATTTACAGAAGATGAGAATACTTGCCGTTATATGTGTACAGCCATCGCGTCTGCATTGCCAGTTGTGTTGACTAAATGTACGTGCGCAGTCAAACAACGAACGCAAGTTCTCCCTCTCACCGTCTATTGAAGTGAATTGAAAAATTTCACTTCTTCCATGCACTCAACAAAATCTGTTCTTCCTGATGCGCGAGTTCACAGCATTACTAACAGCTGAAAGCATATTTTAAAGCAAAGCTGTAGAAGCAAAAAGTGTCTTGGTCCTGTTCTGTAGCATGGGAAACGCTGTTTGATGTTACTGATCATACCGTCGATATGCAATCACGAACAATAATTAGACTCAGCCCCAGCATGCATTCATTGTTGCTACATAGACAAGCGTTTTGTTCTCGTCATTGCGTTATGCACTTGTCAAATCTGTTGATCTGGCGCAGAACCCACCGACTCGTCACCTCAAGACATACGCCAGCAGGCTGTTTCAGATATTATGTTTCGAATTATGATAAAATGCTTCCGAAGAAAGTTTGATCAACATTTGTTTTTGTCTGCGTAACATTTTGTTGGCCGAAGCGCAACTGCATTTCAACCGCCGCCACGTGCGTTTCTCTCTCCACTCTTACCGCAAGCGCAAAAACAGTCGATGACATCGCGGAGTGCATGCCGTTACTCATGCGCTGCGTGATCGGTGACGAGACAAAAACTAGTGCCGGGTGGAGCAGGAGTCAATTCATCGCCGCAGGCGCTCAATCAGCATGACGTCACGGCTGCCCGCCCGCGGACAGTGCGAACTAGTCTGTGGGAGTTGACTACTCGAGCCAGTTGGCGGGGTCTGTGGTGCCGCATACTACACCACGGGAGTCTGGGATGTCCTAGACCATCTCGCTGGAGTCTACAGCGCCGCAGACTAGCCCACGGGAGTCTACGATATCCTAGACCAGCCCACGGGAGTCTGCGGTGCGGCAGACTAGCCCACGGAAGTCAAGAGTGTCTTAGACCAGTCCGCGGGAGCCTGAAGTGCCGCAGAGCAGTCCCTCGGTAGTCTGCGGCGCCCAGCCTTGCCTGCCCGCCGTCTGTCCGTCCTGCGGGGCGGCCTGGGCCGCCAGGACCGCTCCGGCTGAGCGTCGCCGGGCGCCCGCGGTCGGCCTCACTTTTACCCGTCCGCCGCCTCCCGACCATCCATCTCACGAGCGTGTCACGCCGTCACGTGACCCCGCGCGGCCGGCGGCCGGCGCGCCGCGTGACCGGCGCGCTTGGCTTTGGCCACTGGAGCTGAACCGGTCAGTCGGTTGCCACATAGGGGGCGCCTCTTCTCCGCCGCCAGTCGTGGCAGGTGCGGACGACTCGGGCTTTCAAAACGCCGCCCGACAGCGGCCGTGTCATGCCGCAACGGCGCCTGCGCCGCGGTGTTGAGTTGTTAGGTTGACATGCGCGATTTGTACTGGGAGTCTCGCAGTTTGAGGAGAGTGATGCACCGGCGTGCTTTCCTCTCACATTTGCCCTTGCGGAGACACGCTGGGAGGTGGAAACGTGCTTGATGTGAGGACTTCCAACGATGACTCTCTTGGTCGGCAATTGAAGGAGGCTTTCCGGTGTTTTCATTTTCACTTCATGAAGACATAATTATGTTGGGAATGGTGTAAATCACTGGGAGAACGTTTGTCTGACGACCGCGTATGGAAACCTGCGGGTGCACGTTTGGCTTCTCGCCAAGAGTTTCATTGCCCCCGTGGTAATCGGTGCAACAGAAACCGACGCTAGGCGATCGCAGATGTTGAATGCGTGTTTCAGCTGTCATGATGTGCCTTAATTTGACTCGAAATCAGAGTGTTATTGAACTAAGCTCTATATATTATTTCAATTTGCGTGATGACATATGCCTTCGTTTGATAAATTGTTGGATTAGTTAAGTTATGGCATACTGAAGGCGTAATGAAATGAACGTTTTATGCTAAGTGAAGGGTTAAAGAGCTAGGTAAAGGAAAGTGAGTCCGCTTCTGAAAAGAATAGCATTCAACCCTAGGTACACATTTCCACACAATTATTGTGCTGTCAGAGAAACATTGAGCATGTTTGATTCGTTAGCATGCTAGCTAAAATGGCAACACTGGGCTTTTTGGTTATATTCATAACATATGATATATATATATATATATACATATATATATACATATATATATATATATATATATATATATATATATATATATATATATACTTGGGTGTCAGCGTTGTGTGGCGTGGCTGGCACGCAGCCGGCTGCATTGGTGGCAGCGCCAAGCCTGCTCAGCTGGCTGTTGGTCCACACTCAGCCTGTGGTGAAAACCCACCGGCTGCTCCCGCTATACGGGTACCAGCTTCAGTCGGCTTACGTCATGGCCCGCTCGCCGGGCCGTGAGAACATCATTGTGCATGAATTAGGGGGCGTCTCTACCCGGTTAGTGCGCCCAGCCTGCACGGCTCGGACAGTTTGCCCGACTGACGCTATTCACGATTTGCTCTGTTTGTTGGGAAAGTCATTGCGTATGCTGATGCGAAGTGGCCTTGTGTATGCACGAGCCTGTGGATTCAGAGTAACCACGTCTGCGGGGTTCACTGTAATCTTGATCATCGGCTGTGTGATGGAAATCGTGACATCGAACGTTGCATATTCTGTCGTGGAGCTCGTACGTATATTCCCATGCTCCATTCATCCGCCACAGGCGCAACAGCGCTTCTGAAAGTGCGTCTCAAAAGGTCGGCATCACACGATCGCTCGGGATAAAATCAGGCCGCCGAGTCTGGGTTAATGATTTCGGCAAGAATTATGTCGGTAAGGTGTATGTAGTGTTCTCCCGTCATCGGTCAATACGGCCAGATAGCCGGAGACTGGCCCGAGCTGTTGCGTTAGAGCCTAGCTGTCTGCATATTTCAAGGGAACTTTGTGTTCGTGCAACATGATTTTGGATATGTCACGTAGGTACACATCGGAGCTCGGCTCACTGCCTGATGACTGTGCCGCCCTGCCACGCAAACATGCCGAACAGCTGTAATGCACTTAAACGAGTGTTTTGACATGCCATACCAGCTAGGTCATGCCTTGGGCATGCACAGGCTCACTGGGCATGGAATTTGCGGACCGACCGTCCCAAACGAGGCTCATTCGGCCACGCGTTGACCCGTAATTTTACGACCGGCGCTTGAGTCTCGGGTGCCGCGTACGTCACTAGCCCCATCAGCATATCCGGTGTAAAAGACCAGGACTCATAGGCGCACAGCAGCTGCAAGTCTATCGGCAAAGAAACATACCTCAATGGGCTGTTATTCTGGAGCCCGATAGGCAGGTGGTGTTTCTGGCTGCTGTCGGTATGCGTTCTCCCTGCGTTGCTGTGCTGTGCAGCAATGAAGTTTACAAATTTTGGGGCTCGATGCAAAAATAGTCTTCCTGCGTTACTGTTTTGTGGAGCAATGCAGTTACCGCACTCTCCCCCTGCAGTTCCCTCCCCGGACATACATCACATGCATTCGACGCGCGCTACGCTACAGTGTATGCTGACGGCTTTAATGTCCGAACCGTGGCCAAAGGAGCTTTTAATACGCTGCGGCCCAGACGTTTATCGCAATCTGCTACGGTCACGGGTGGGGACACATCAGTGCCCGCTGCCTCATTCACCGCATACATACTCTGACGTCACGTACCGCGGTCAATTCCGCCGTCCGTGACCCATACGCTTCCTGACCCGTGACACCTGCGTTGCAGCCACGGCATGGCCGTCTCGGGCGGTGAGCTCCGAGATGCCTGGTGGTCGACCTCAGCGGCACGGTGCTCGGTCAGTACGGCCCGGTGTCCGGCGAGGCGCACCTGCCAGCCTCAGAAATACAGGTGAGGGAGCTAAGAGTCCGTCCGGGCGGCGGGGACGGCATGGACCGGAACCCAGGGCGGCGGGGAGGCAGGGCCGGGTCCCGGGCAGCGGGGACGCAGGACCGGGACCCCGGCGGGGCCGGCGGGGACGGCAGGACCGGGACCGGGGCGGGCGGGATGGCAGGACCGGGCCTCGGGCGCGGGGATGGCATGACCGGGCGCCGGGCGGCGGGGACGGCAGGACCGGGTCCCGGGCAGCGGGGATGGCAGGACCGGGCCCCGGGCGGCGGGGATGGCAGGACCGGGGCGCCGGACAGCGAGGACAGCGATGCTCCAGCTAGGTTTTGCTGACCTGCGCGGAAAGATGCGCTAACATCCGGCAATATTCTAAAAAAATCGCGGAAGAAAGCACGCTGCTTCGACTATTCAAGCTGTCAGGAAACGGCCCTGCATTCTGCATACCTCCGGACTTTCTTGGGCCGATCCCCTGTGGGCCACCACAGTCGGGTTCTCTCCTCACAAGCGCTCCACACTTCCTCCAGGCCGTGGATAGTGAGAGCGATCGAAAGCGGCGGGAGAGAACGAGAGCCATGTTAGGCTCCTGTGACCCACTGACGCCGATGATGATGTTGCAGGTCACTGGACGGGTTTTGCAACAACGTGCAACACGCGTCGTGGGGCAGCGCGCAGACCGCCTTGGCTCGGCTCCTGCAGCCAGCGTACACCGATGGTAGGTCTGACGAAAGGGCCGCCCTGGAGCCCTGTGGGTTCCATGGGAATGCGGCGTGCTGCACTTGTGGTGTTGGATGCGTCTCGTATCCGATGCAGATGATGCTGGTAACTAGCAGATTTTTCGTACGATCAGCCTTTTTGGTTGGGGTTAAGAGCATTGTAACGACTGACGCCGGCTGGGCAAGGAAATCACAAGGCATCTGGAGCTCCACCATGCAGTCATTATCTCACAGTTGTAAGTTACTCATAGTAACCCCGAACTTTGAGGTACCTACTGACACAATGAATGGCTGCGTAATGTCTTAGGAGGCATCTTAGATAGGCGCGCCGGATAATTGTGAATTGACGAATATTGCCACTAGTCGCCGTTCTGTGGGTGAATGCGGGGTCCTTCGTTCGCTTTCTTTGGGTGCGCCCTTGACTTCATTCTGGCTTACATAGTCCTGTATGTACGGCGTGACCGGTATGCTGAACATGGAGTGGCTCAACTGCGCTTCCGCAAGAACCCCATTCACAGCCCAGCGGCGCGTCGATTGTGTCTCAAAGCACGCTCTGTACGAAAATAAAGGGAGCATTCGAGCTTCCACCGTCGGATACCGCAGCATCAGTGTCAGCAGTGTCAGCGGCGGTGTCAGTTCAGTTGAGTACCTAGCAAAGTACAGGGGGATCAGGAAGTAGGTAAACGTTCATCAAGTACTGACGTGGTTGTTGTAGTGCTGCCGGAGTGATTTTAGTTGTGTAGAGTTCCTATCCGAGGTCCTGACAGCTAATGGAGCTTCCGGAGCGCTCTAACGTCTGCCATCCTCGCTGGCAATATGCGTTTAAGCTTTTTCTGCTACTGAACGGGCTAGAAAACAATCCGAATATAACGCTTGTCACGTTGTGGCGTGACTCACCACACACTAGCTGTTCCGTCCGTCTTTCTTTTCACCAACAGCATACGTGAGTGCCAATGTGACTCGTCCACTGAGTGTCCACACTCGTCCGCCGAGTGTCCACATGCTCGTGTCGGCACACCCGGCCATCCCAGATCGCTGTCCTTTGTCACCACATCTCCCATTGTCCACCCACGTGACCCCTATCCGCTCACGTGCTCGCCGTCACCTGACGTGCCCCTCGTCCGTCGCCGTGTCCTGCTCCGCTTCGCTGCCCTTTATCCGCTCTCGCGACCCCAGTCGGCGCGCGCTCTCCCGGCGCCGGAGCGCGCGCCGCTGGCGACAGCGGAGCCGGCTAATCCGTCGTCCAGTTACGTCAGGCGGCGCCCTCTGACGGCCGTGATCGGCGTCCGGCCTGCCCCCGGTGGGACGTGGTGACCCGCTGGCGAAACCGGACGTGGGGCGGCCGGCTCAGGCCGGGCGACCCGGCGACGGCCGCCGGCGCGCGTGCGCCGCCTTCGTGACGGCGCGGAGGCCGCCAGCATGGCATGTCCTCACGAACGGGCCGGGGAGCGGGAGGGGGGGGGGGGACTGACCTCGCCGCATGCGATGCGAGCCAGGAATCCGACGCGGCGTCGGCTGCTGATGTCATTTCCTGCCGGTATGTCGGAAGCCCAACGTGGCTATTTTTGCTCGCAGTTGACGGTTGGAAACTTTGGATCAGCGTGTGTTTGATCGTGTCATGAGGCACACAGACGTGGACTGGCTGGCCTGGTTGGTGCATTCAGCGCGGGGCGTCCTTCTACAGCGATCTTTTCTCTTGCGATCCTGTTTGATTACTGGTCTACCAATCATGAAGTATAGATGCTGCAACGCAAACAGCTGGTTCGTGACCGTTACGAGCTAGAAATGCATGTTATTACTCTCACTTCTTTTCGCAAGTAGCCGTTAAACAAGACAGCATTCATAGCGGTACCATTTAGAGTCGTTTCAAGCACAACATCATGCACACAAACCTGCGTTCTATCATTAGCGAAGACCTCTAAGCGCTCCAATACTTGTAGCAAATGGGTGTAAAAGTTCATAACCCCAAACTTGTATCAACCACTTCATCCACATTGTGGGTCGCCATCATACTCTGGCATGATTTTGAAGCTATGATGTGATGTGACCTCATCAGATCCGTACCAAATACTGCATGTAATGACCTAACATGTCCTAGTCAGCAGGCCTTTGAGATAGATTCTTACTTGACATTCCTTTCTGTTGATCCTAACTGCTGCCTGACCATTTACACCAGATCATGTGCAGCTTCCGTGTGTTCCCCAGGTCAGTTCGTGATCCCGCGTGAGCTCATCAAGTCGACTTAATAGCCTATAGCTAAGTCATGTGACCCCAACTGACTCGTGTGTGCGTGTGTGTTTTGGTAAGGGTGGGGGTGAGGGGGGGGGGGGCGCACACAAGGAGATGGCTTACCGGGTCCGTGTTTGCGGCGCACCAAAATGTAACATCAGGAGGCTGTGAGTAAATACCAGAAAGACCTGATGGTCAGCAGGTGATGCTGCGATCAGAGGCCACATGTTCAACTGCTTCGGGCAGTCCGGCAACGAGCCTCTACCTTAATAATCATGTGCCCGCCTCAGGCCACCTACTTACGTCTAGCGAAACGGACTGGTCACGAAACAAAGTCGGCCCTCCCATTTTTGTTTGTGTTTTGTGTTGTTTTTTTGTTGCGTATGTTTTGTCTAAGCTCCGACGCCTCCGTCACCAGGTCACCGGCCTTGAGACATCAACTAGCCAGTCGTTTGACCCAGGCCGGATAATCTGGAGACACTGACCTGCGACCCCAAGGACAACCTGATGTAATTTGCTGATCTAACCCACCTGCGCTAGGACCCGCTGAAAACTCCCCCTACTCGCGGGCTGACCTGACCGTCCTCCCGCCATCAGGTCTGTCGGCGCCGCGAGGTCAGAGCGCCGCCGGCGGTGACCTGCCCTCGGCTCGGGTCGTCTCGTCCCGCCTGACCCACCCGGGTCACAACCGGCACGAGTTCGTCACCGCCCTGATGGCGGTGTGGGCCGAGTTTGTCCCATCACGACCTGGTG